CGAGTCCAGTCCCTGCCAGCAATTTATTCCTGTGTTTAACCACCCTGACAGTTAGGAACTTTTTCCTAATGTCCAACCTAGACCTCCCTTGCTGCAGTTTAAACCCATTGCTTCTGGTTCTATCCTTAGAGGTTAAGGTGAACAAGTTTTCTCCCTCCTCCTCATGACACCCTTTTAAATACCTGAAAACTGCTATCATGTCCCCTCTCAGTCTTCTCTTTTCCAAACTAAACAAACCCAATTCTTTCAGCCTTCCTTCATAGGTCATGTTCTCAAGACCTTTAATCATTCTTGTTGCTCTTCTCTGGACCCTTTCCAATTTCTCCACATGGCTGAACTATTTTTGTTCAATGTTTTCTTTGTTCAATGATTAACCTGACTCAGAGACCAAGCATAGAAAATATAAGCCCAAACAGATAGAAATATATCAAAATACTAAGCAACTGAAAATAGAGGAAAGGACCAGGTGACCTGAATTTTAGGCATTGAAACTGAGCCACCTATAATGAATATGGAGAAAGGGGTGCTAGGTATTTATCCTTTAAAAATCTGTCAAGTGAAAGGGATAAAAGTCCGATAGGCCACATTATTATTAGGCCAAAGTAATAATTAGTAATTGAGTAATTAGTCCCACCACTTCTTATATACAGGTCTGAGTTTAATCTAGTCAAGCCACTGGTTGCTAAAACCACAGAGTGAGACTGATTCTTAGTACAAATTTCAAAGTGTTGATCCATTGAGCGCTTTCTTCTTCACAGGAGGGTAACAGAAATGCTGTTCGGTGTGAATGTATTCCCTGCACCTGCCAAGGGATGAAGGTGTGTGGAGTGCTCCAAGCAACACAGCCCAGCGCAAGACATATGTACGGCTTAAGCCTCACATGTGCCCTCAAAATAGACTTAAATGGTGCGGCAGCCTGGCCTGGGCCTCTGCCCAGAGAGCACTTCCCCCCCAGTCATGGAGAGAAATATGGGAGTCATTGATTAAACAAGAAACCAAATGATCTCACAGTCTCGTACCAGTGGGAGCGGAAATCCATTGTAAAGTTTTCCTTCGGTGAATCCTTTGGGAAGAGACACTCCATCCTCATACTCTGCCGGGAGCCATCGGGCATATCCATGATTGGAAGCTCCCAAATAAGAATGTTTCCTGGAACATTGGGAAGAAAACAAACAACTAAACTATTTCAGAAAGGACACACCCTGCAGAGAAGCAGAATTTCTTTTTCTCCCTGGAACCTACGTTGAATTGCTAGAACGATAGAAAGGAATCGTTTTGAGGTTCAGAGGCCACAGCTATATTTTGGACAGACAACGCTCCGAGGCAAAGACTCAAAGACACTTAGCGCAGGCTATGGTTACTACTGAGGTAAAAGGACCAATCCTCATGTTGTTGTCATACTCACATTTGTAATTCAGAATTTAAATCTAAGCTACTTACA